CCCATATAATCTACCCCACAGTGACACTGACATAAAAACAGGAAATGTAACATGTCTGCTTCTTTCAAATTTAAAATCAGCAACTGATACAAGTTTCTAAAGTTTAACTGTAACACATATAATATAAATACATTATAACCTTACAGGTTTAAATAGAAAGCTAAAAGTGAAATTCTGCTTAATTTTATATTTTCCCAGAAGTGACCAAATGAATGTAAATATTATGCTCCTCTACATGAGTTGTTAGATTTACTATTTCGCTTGCAAAAAAATAAAAATGACTCAAAAAAATATTAACTGTATTCAAGTTTAAAAAATAATATCCCTCTAGTTTAAATGAGTTCAAACTCCATTATAATACACCATAAATCCATGGCTTGTGGTTCTGATTCTTGTTTGGGCCAGTGACTGTCATGAAATCCAATGGTCCCTGATCAAACCAAAATAACTATGAGCAAATCACATTCCTATATTTTCATAATGCATACAAGACAAAATATTGCTGAAAAATATATTAAACTATTAGTTGATAAGTGGATGTATTTAAGAATGATAAAAAAAATACACATCAAAGGGCAGAAATGACCAGCAGCATAAAATATATTATTCTACACTGAATAAAAATAAAAACTTAAGACACCAGTTGTACACATAACTTTAATTCCGTTTATAGAAACACAGAAGCAGGGTATTTCACAGTCATTTCTGTGTTTTTGGCACTATTCTATATATTCAAACAAATAAAATCTACACTGGATTGTTAACGGGCCATAAGAATAAATGTTTCCCTGGTCACAAATTGTATTTTTAAATGTGGAATTGGCCAAGGGGGCCATATTAAAGGTAGTCTAAGGGCCATAAAAATAGACTGAATTCACTCGTTTTTCCACAGACAGAATAACTTCACTGATCACTCACTTAAAGTTCAAATTTAACCAGTCTAAATTTTCCATTTGACAGCTGACTGATCCAAAGGTAGCACACATCCTCTAAAAAAATAACTAATATTAAAAAAAACTAGTGCCACCTTTAGTGTCGCCCTTTCCAGGCATTCAAGCGAGCAGATACAAAAATAACAGAAGTCGCTCTCCGGACAAAGAACGTGCTAATGAAAGTTAGCAAATCTAAGAAGCTAACAAAAATTAAATTAATAAAGCAGAGCGTTCAAAGCAGCCCCGAAACGTCCACCAATGTTACTGATATAAAATCATTTCACTAATTTTGGAAAATCTTTGACTCTTCAGCGACCACATTCAGCAACTACTGAGGAAACCTAGGTGTGTAGTTCGGCTAACACCACCATGACGCTGGTAAACACCGTTAAGAACCTAGCTCCCATATTTGATAGATTTAAAGCCAATAAAACATAACTCCCTGTCCATTAATCCATGACCTGGTAAAAATATGTTTTATGTTTACGTTTCAACTTAGGAATGAGCAAAGGAAATGTGTTTCCAATTTTTTCTAAGCTAAAAATGACCAAAATAGCATTTGCGAGAAGCTAACGTTAGCAGCACGAGTATGTTTCATATAAATGTGAACGGAAAAAAAATATTTCCATTTTAATGGTTTTAAATCAATCAGCTACATTATGAGTTGTAAGGATTCCCACAGTCACATGTAATGTTTAGTTTGAACATTGGACATTAGTTTTACGAGATATAGTTCGCCAACGGTAGCATTAGCCTTATTAGCTTGCCTTCCTCGGCTCCAACTAATCTCTGAATATGCTAACGTAGCTACAAACGTTGATTTCTTAAACCAGTCTGTAAACCTTCATTCAGCCAAACGTGGCGGTGGCTTTCGGATACCACCAACAAAACACAAAGTGGCTATCATAGTTCCATCAACGAGAAACACTACTAACTGAAGAGCAAGCTACTTTTTACCTAAAGAAAATGACAGCTGTTTTCAGGAATTAGACTCCCCCTCCCTCATGTTGGTGTAAAACGGACATCCCCCCCTACTTAAATCTCAGTTTTTTCTTTGAATGTAATCCTGTCGATTGTTGTTTGTTAAATACATTCTCAGTCTCACCGTGCTTCCAGTAAAGTAATTCAGATCGTCATTCCTTCTAGTTTCCCCACAACAAACTTGATGAAATGGAAGGGTTGCAGCGCCTCCAGTTTAGTTTGATTTTCAAAATAAAATGGCGTCTGTCACCGCTCGGCGCGCTCACGCTACCAGGCGGAGACGTGCATGAGTTACCCGATGAGGCCAGACACCTGAAACAAATAATATAAGTATTTAACACAACCGAAGAAAACTAGGGTATTTAGCGTTATTTTTTTTTATTCTAAACAGTTTTTCGTAGGTAAAAACACATAAAGACAGTTACAAAGTTGGCCTTTTATCACCTGAAAAACATATCCATAATTAAAGTTCTATGTCCAAACAATATTTTTGAGAAACTCTTCCATTCGTTTATCTTTAGTCGAATTGATTTCTGCAGCAGTGTCTTGACATGTCTACCAAAATGTTGAGAGAATAAACTTTAAACTACTTTTGTTAGTTTATAAGTGATTGTGTGGTTTAGCACCAAAATACTGTTGTCATTCTATCAAAGTTCCAGAAAACAGCTAGGCTGCTGAAACACCGAGTTCCTTTGAATTAAGGTTAAATCCCCACCTGTTTACAGCTGCCTTTGATCAATAATAATATGAACATTGATTGATGTATTTGATGTATATTTGCTTGATAATTTTGAGGATGGCATTTGACAAAATGTAATGTTTATTGCTAGTTTCATACGTGATTACCATATAATATTTTTATGGTGTAAAGCACTTTGAACTGCCTTGTTGCTGAAATGTGCTATACAAATAAACTTGACTTGACTTGAATACGCCATGAAATACACAATACACAATACGCCATGAAAAAGGGTTTCTCCCCATATAGATTTTTGCAGTCTTTGCTTGTTTGTCACTCCTAAATGTTTGAGTTCATAAAAAATATATATTATTGCCAAATGGTTAAGCCAGCCTTGTGGAGATCAACCACTTTCAAGGGTTTGCAGTTTTTTAGCCGTATTTGTATCACTGTAGATGCAAATACATTCTCTACATTCCTTAATGTAGAGGAATTTTGAAAGTTATTCAAATATTACATTTTGCAGGACACATAACTTCAAAAAAGCTTTAATTTTGTCATGTCACTCCACAGAATATTTTCCCTAATGTCTTAGAAATCCTCCGGATATTGTTTTAACCAAATGTAAAAGCTTCCTATGTTATTTTTGGTGCCTGGAAATATGTCATTGTTACACTGTCTGTTATTTTTAAATCATGAACTCTTGCCTTAGCTGACCCAAGTGAAACTGTACATGTTGTACAGGGTTCTTCTGTGAACCTCTGGATGAGCCGTGACATGTTCTTGAAGTAATTTTGGTAAGTGGGTCAAGTATGGAAACTTAACCTTTTGGTTACAGTTCACATCACTTAGAGAAGACCATACAAACAGTGAAATATGGTGGTGGCAGCATCATGCTCTGAGGTTACTCTTCTCCATGTCGAACTGGACTTTCTTCTTTTTTTATCAACGTGTTGATAAAAATTATGAACAGCTCTTAATGCCAATCAGTGTCTGATTGAAAGTTGAAGTTGAAGACAGGTTTTGTGTTTCAAAATCACAGTGAGTCTAAACTTACATCCACATCAACAAAATAATGACTTTGTGACATTAAAAAAATGTTAATAGCCAAGCCAGAGATAAATCTGACAAAAAATCTGTAAGTGATTCTAAAGACATCTGAGAAAGTCGGAGAACTTTTGAAACTTTTGACAAATATTGTCAAGATATAGGTTGGTGACAGATTTCTAACAAAAAAACTTAATGCTGAAACTGAATCCAAGTGCTTTAATAAATTACTGGTTAAAGGGTGTACATACTTGCAACAAAGATATATCAGTTTTTTATTTTTTATATTTTGTCCTCATAGTTATTTTTATGCAAGCTGTAGAGAAGATGTTACTTTAACATGTTTCAGGTATACCTTTGCAAATATTGAGCTTTATCTTAATATTTTTATAATTATATTTTCACAATGTTTATCATGTCATTGTGTATATCTTGTACATGTTTTCATCAGACTCATCATTATTATTATTTAGTTTAAAGCGTCAATTTTGTCTTTTCTTATTACCTGTTTACAATTTTTCCAATGACAGACAAGTATTGCATTTCTTTGTTCACTAAAATTTAACCTGATGTGATCTAATAAAACTTTTACCATTTACTCAGTTAAATTTAACTGAATAACTTTCTCAAGTCAATGTACTTCTAGGAGTAGTTTTACCACAACTTAATTTTTACTTTCACTGTACAGTAGTCTGGTGGGATGTCTGGTTTGTAAACAGGCTTCATTGATCTAGTGTTATTTTAGATCTTCTGAGCCTGTCATGCCATTTGGAGGTCAAGTAAACATACAATAAGCCACAGACATTATCTGGAAGTATTTTGCTCTGCCCTAATATGCAAACACTACTTACTTCAAAAGTTAAATGTTATGGAAAAAGTAGATTTGGGAATGAGTGTCTCTTCTGTCTGAATTTATTTTTGTATTGAGGTGATTTATTTTTATTAACTTTTTATTAGAACTTGCACGTATTGTATTTGTCTGAATGACTACATTCTTTTCAGATATTTATTAAAATTAGACAGCAAGTTCTCAGTGCAGCCTTTTACCTAATACTTCTTCACTGTTACTTGAGTAATTTTTCAGATGGCTATCTTTCACTTGAGTAAAATATATTGAAGTAATGCTACTCTTACAAAGGAGTGGGTAGAAAATGACTCAAGTAAGAGTAAAACAAGTATTTTTTAAAAAGGGGGACTCAAATAATGAGTACCTAATCATGACATCTGATTTAATATAAAACATTATGAAATATACAGTTATGAGCAAATTCTGTTTTTTAAAAGACTAAAATTAAGACTATGACTTGTAAGTACAGTACAACCCTCTAGGTGGCGGTAGTTGCCTAAAAAGGGCTCATCAGCGCGGCGCTCCTCCCCTTTTTAAAACCTCATTTCCACTGGAGCGTTCATGCTATACACATCCCTGAGGGACATCGACAGGGCATTTTTGTCTGATTCATCAGATCAGATGTGTTGTTTTTAGTCGAGTTGCAGTTTCAGTTTTAGAAAAATGTCGAATTGGGCGAAACCAGCTGCAGGTGTGCGGAGACCGTCCGGCAGTCCAAACGGAAGGTTAGCTTCTTTAGCCTTAGCAGCTAGCCTGCACGGAAGCCGCGAACAACAACTTTACCCAATTACAAGTGCATGTTTCCGCAGCGGGTGCGAACTTATATGTTCAAGTTACCATGGATGTCGACGTTAAAAGGGTTCTTGTTGTGTTGCAGTGCTCAGCAGTTGCGGCTGTTCCGGAGAGCGGCTCCGTACCCGAGTAGAGAAGAAAGAACCGAGGAGCTAAAGGATGCTCTGGACAGGTAAAAGCGGCTAACGGCGGCTAACACAACAGCTTAAACACATGAGAGGCGGGAGGGTGCAGCTTTTACTGGAAACTATACTTTTTAGACCATTTGTTTTCTCTGTAGGTGGAGGGCTGACTTGTTGTTGAATTTGTACTGTATAGTGTTATTATAAATCGCTCCCCCTTATTATTTCAGTGTACTTATTATTTTACTTAGTTGAATAAAAATGCATTTGAAAAGTAAAAGATTTCCACCTGGAGCTTGTTTGTGAAACATAAATTGAATCTTTTTTATATATCCAACTGTTTAACAAACTCTACATTGCTCTAACAGCACCTGCCTCATCAAAATTGTGAAACTGTTACCAGTTTTGTGATATTTTACAACTTCTTTGACTTATTTAATAAGCAAAATGCCATAAGAATTGTATGGAACTATTAATACTATATCAGATGTATATATTTTAGAGTCTGTAAATGATGATTTAAAAAAAACCCTGTAAATAAAGGCATCTGATATTTTAAAGAAGACAGTCTCTAGTATAAAACCTTAACTTAAGAGAAAATGTTACATATAGTCATCTGCTTGATTCATGACATAATGTAGATTATAATTGTCATTTTAAGATGGATTATGACAGGATATCTTTTTTTTTAAATCCTGTCAGTCAAAAAGACAGACGGGGCCTCTGATTTACACAGCAGTATTTGATGCTGCTGGTATTGAGCTCACACCGATGGGCTAACCTGGTGCAGAAAATCCATCCAACAAAAAAGAAAACTTGCAAAAGCTGTATCCTGGTTATCAACAGCAGGAATAAAATCATAAACGGTGAACAACTTGCATTGTTTTTAATTCAACACCAGGAATCCTGTGATGTTAAGGTAACAGTTTGCTGTCCACTCTGTTTGCATGGAATATTTTTGTTGCAATTATTGCACTAAGCTGATATTACAACTCTTTTATTCAAATGAAACCACTCGCTTCTAGCTTATTCTTTTTCGTTGGGATTCGAAAAGTAAACATTTGAATGATTCCGTTAGGATAAAAAATATTAACCCTGGATCCATTTTCTTTTTATAAAAGTTCTTCAACATAAAATTTGTTGAGTTGGCGATATAGAAATAAACTAAATTGAATTGAATTGAAATATTGATTATTGAACAGTTCTGGGATTCGTCTCTTCCCACACCACAAGTTTCTGCTAGAAGACGTGTCTGAACTCAGAGAACAGATTGGATAAGTTAAAATAATTTAAAGTTTTTATATGGTCCTAAAGATTTCACCCATCCCTTCAGATGATCTGAGTCCAGAAGAAAAGTTTCAATCTTCCCGTTTGCTGCCGATGTTGACAGTAGAAACACAGTAGATCAGTTTTCCGCTGCACTCCCCAGTGTCGGTCTGTTATGTAGAAGAAAAATATCAACTTGGTTTGTCTTCAGAAGGAAACGGGGAAGTTTTTCTCTACAGCAGTCAGGCTTCACTTTGACTTTTACGTTAATTTCTGGAAAGTCTCCATTATCCAGATTCTCATTTCATCAGGTGTATTGCAGCCTGTTTATAGTTTCACATTAAGTGTGTTTCTTCATTTTTTCTGAGACTTCAGATGCCATCTGCTGGACAAAAACAGAACCTCATCTTTAGGTTGGAAATCTTTCGCATCATGGCTTTGATCAAAAGGCCTGAATTTTACATCAGTTTATGAATCAAAACTTAAATTGAATTATTGGTTTTAAAACTTTAAGGAACAAAAAATTCTGATTTGGAGAAACTAATGATTCAACTGTGAATTCCATTTAACAGACAAATAGATCTGCAGCTTGGCGCACTTATGTCAGGTGTTATGAACACAGATGTAATAATCTGCACCACTTAGCACTGCAGACATTTAAGAGGTTCCTGCCTCACTTTGTGGTTCAGAGAACTGAATCAGAGGTTCTGTAGATCAACATATTTGTTTTTTAGGACTCGACACTGAAACCTAAGGCCATCTGGACCCAACTCGGCATCAGAAACGCACACGTTTTATATTTCCTAAGAAATTTTCTAGTAATTTATCGTCATGAATCAAAATTCTTATCAGAATTTTTTTACAATAACAATATCCATGTATTGGGGATATCTGTGCATATCTGCAGTGATAGATATCTAGATAGAAGATTATTGTTACAGTATAGTATAGCATCTACATTATGCAAACAGAGCAACAGCATAAAGTATTAAATGTGCAATTGGTGTTTCGCTTTCAGCACATTTAACAGATACCAATAGGGTGGTGAGGAATGATTGCTACAAACTTCAAATTGCAGGTTGGACCAATGCAACAACAACATGGCAACTACCACATGTGTAAAAGCTACAGTCCAGCTTCTGTCTGTTTTTAAATATTGTTTTTCAGCAGGATTTTCAGTGTTTATTTGGGCTGTTTAAATTGTCTTTTTTATTTTTAAGGTCAGATCTGGTTCTGTTTTTCTCAGAAATTAGTTCCTAAAAATATGACACCTTTGTTTTTATATGGTGTCAAGTTTTCAGTTTCTACTGTTGTGCATAGTGCGTTTATGTGTACAAGTTACTCTAAGTTAGAAGGAAGTGGATCAGTCTTATCTGATCGCTGTCACTCTGAATACTGTACTCCACTGTTGGCTGCTGTGGTTTTTGCTGCAGTGTGTGCTGCAGTGTGTGCTGCATCAGTTGCGTCGTCACCTGTTGGGGTTTTTCTGTTTTTTAGGTCAGCTTTAACAAATATACACATTTCAGGAGTTCAACTGTGCAAATATTTAGAAAATACTTTGCATATACATAAGAGGAAACGATGTGAAAATTCCTGCTACCTTTGCTCGCGTTACTGTACCTACCTCTCCAGTTTTTAAACGGGGCTTTATGTTTTCAGTGCACAGAAATCTGTATAATATAACCACCCAGAAAAACTCAATGAAATTCTGCACCTTAATACTTGTTTTGCTCCATTTCTAGTTATGAAGAACTGGAACAGCTTCAAGGTTACTCCACCAGTGTCAAGTTTGAGGCATACAAACCTCAGCCAAGTGGTGAGACTTTCATTTTCATCATGCAGAACCTTTTATGTTTTTAATATAAAAGTACTACTCCTGGTCACTTAAATTACTCCCATCATCTAAATGTGCACTCTCCCCACCCATCCCACTACCCCTTCCCAAATTTATTGAAGTCTTGAACCCGCCAGTCAAAACTGAGGTTGTCACTCCGGCAGACAGACGTAAAGCTCTGTACCAGAAGTTCTACAAGCAGGTCCAGGAGGAGAGAAAGCCAGCCGACTGTGTGGTCCTGTCCGTCACCAACAAGTTCCTGTGAGTTTTCCTCTAGCAGTTGTTCAGCTGAGTTTAGATTTGGATGTTCTGCTTAGGATATTTAGCTTCCACTAATGGATATTTATCGTTTATTGCAGTTTCAAGATGTGTTCTGACTAATTGAAACACTTTTTCAGATCTGCTGTTGACTGAGAATTTATTTGAATTTCTTACGTTTCTTTTTAAACTGCTACGAATGGGGCATCTATACCCTATTGGGTAGAGGTGTGCCGATCGATCGGTCACCGATCATAATCGGGCCGATTTTCGTGAAAAAGTGCATGATCGGTGATCGACGATCATTGTCTCTTTTGCCGATACCGATCACCTACTTCTCATTTCGCAGCCTGCCTGTGCAGCTGGTCT